CGTTTTAGATTAGACATAACGAAAATCTTTTTTACAACTCAAGTGTCCAGTCTTTCCTGCCCAAGTACAGGGGGACTGGACTTGATGATCTCGTGATGTCCCTTCCAGCCCCTAACATTTATGAATCTATGAATTAGGCATACACAGTTTGGCCTCTTGGTCTCCTTTAGCTACCAAATTAAATGAACTAAGACTTATCCCCACACAAATGTATTTTACAAGACATTGACAAGATGTATTACACGAAGGACTTGAAAATAGGATTTTAAAAACATGAATAGAAAAAGTTTGGTAACGGGAAAATTTCATGGAACTAAAAAATGTTTAGCCTTGATATGAAAAAAAAACGTTCCATCAATAGAAATCACATTCCATGTTGGAAGATCCCACATTGCTACCAAAAATGTGTATCTTTTATTTTATTTAGAGGAAACTCATAGTGGGCTCAGTCCTACTAGATGCCAAGTGGCTCTTCTGCTGAAGGTACTCAGCAATTTGTCAGATTATGTCTTCTAATTTTTTTAATGTTTGCCATGTTATAAATTGCTTTAATAAGTGGAATTAATTTGACTGTATTAGATGCATTTAAATTTTTATACTTAAAGTTGGTCACTTAAGATAAACTGTAAATATCCAGAACCCTTAGATCTCACAAAACATAGAATGGTAAAAGCAAAAAATAGCTCTGATGTAGTGACTGTAAGATAATTTAACTACCGTCTGAGGAGGGTGCATAGTGATTATCAGCCTGAGCAGAAATATTGCTATAAGCTCCTTAAGCTCAATGAATCATAAAGGAAATATGGAAGTTGATAATGACAAGTAGAAATGAAAGGATAAAAGGCACTCTCAGAACATGGTAAGTGAGAAGCTGTGCCAAATGCAGAGTTGCTCTTCAAGCCCTGGCAATATCCCACAGTATTCACTGACTTTAAAGGGCTTCTGACAATTTTCATTACATTCACTCGATCAGCAGTGAGCTCTTTGCAATTGCTCCAGTTTTCCCAAGATGCCTTAAAAGTATTTGAACTCCTTGCCCAATGTTTTTAACAGCACAGTCATACTTACAATAGCATTTTGAGGGATAGGTTCCCACCATTGCTAACATCAAGGAGGCAGCGCTAGGGTAGATAAAGATTGCACTCTGGCTTTTTTAATGCTGTATTCTTTAAACCTGCTAGATAGGTCTAAATAACACTGCTAAAAATGCCAAAAGCCAAAGGAGACTTCTCTGTACTGTGGTTTAGCATAAGGGATATTTCTATGTGGACACAGACTATATCACTCTTCATTGCATGAACGTGCACAGAAAGATGTATGCCAGTATTACAATAACAAAAAATTGTTTCCCCTAAGATCTGACAATCTGGCCTGGAAATGCTTCTTCACAGACAATAACTTGGAACAAAGACAACTAATTCCTGCTTTCAGTTACATCACTATAGATCTTAAGCAAATCAATGCAATGCTCAGCTCAGTGTAAGCTGATGATGACACCATGTCCAAGAGGTCTAATTCTGGGACTGTGCTTGGACACCTGCTTACAGTTATGTGTTGGAGCATGTTTGATCAACCAGATTGCAATGCAGGTAAACTAATCTACTTAGCATGGCAGTGAACCATCAGACTGTGTTTTAGGGCTTCCAGATTTCTTTTGCTCTGGTTGCTAATACAGGCTGGGGCCTATGCCACTGCACATTCACTTCTATTGCAACTCATTCTATTTAGTCTAAAACTAGCATGTGTGTTCTCTCTGCACTACAACTATGCTTTCATTTTTATAGCATGGTGCTTTTAGCTTCACTGAATATGGGACAAAACTGAACCGAGAATCAGAATGAGGGTTTTCATGTTGTGAAACTGTTTGTATTATGCATCAAATTCACTGGCATTATCCCAGATTTACACAGGGGAAACTGGCAGCAGCATTCGGCTCCAAGAGCTTAAATAAACTAGGTTGCTTGCTGCTTTAAATTCACCCAAACAACTCTGTGTTCTAGATCAATGGTTTTCAACCTTTTGAATTGTAAATGTGGGTATTCATGTACTTTTGATTCATCATAGTCATCTTTCATGGACCCCTAAGACATAGTCTGCGGGCCCCCGGGGGTCTGTGGATCACAAGTTGAAAGCCACTGTTCTAGATAAAGAGCCTGCTCCTGTGAAACTCAGTTTGCTTTTTGCTATTGGCATTACTAGAAATGGCAAGGTGGCAAGGCTGTTATTTTGAAGACTGAAATGACCCAATATTTACAACTCATATTCCCAACTCTTGTTTTCCAAGCAAACAGGAGCTTCTCATGGCACCACTTGAGTGGAAGTCAACTACAGGCTATAGGATGTGGTGGGCCAGCAGCAGGTATATATAACATAACAGGGAGGCCAAATGAGCCAGATGGAAGCCTAATGGGCAAACAAAAAGGTAAGACTGTATTTTTTTATTTGAATCTACAGGGGCTTGTTTAACAGTTGATTCTCTGCCAGACAACTCACTGTACCTCTAAAAAAATTGCCCTACTCTACAAAGTCATCTGAAATATCCCTGGATTACAGTCAACTTAATATCATACATACCTGCTTCTTCAGAGCATTCTCTGTGGCTCAGCATAGTAGCAGGAACATAACTTTTAACAGTTAGTTCAACCTTAGGGTAATTGCTGGTCCCACGAGGCCTCCCAGAGAGTAAAAGATTTTGTTGTAATTTGAATACGACAGAAAACAATATGACAGAGGAAAATAAAACACTGTAACAGGCTTATATTTATCAGGGTGAAAAAGATTATCTCAAAAGCTGGCAGTTAAAAAAATTAATACATGGTATAAAAATAGTATCAACTCTCCATTCCAGCTCTGTATAAATCCATATATATACAGCATCTCTGATGCAGAAGTTGACTCTTCAAAACAATGCCAATGGGCACAAATAGTAAAATAGCTTCCTATTGTAGCACATAATTCTAAAGATGCTCATTTTAGCTAAAACCAGAATAATGTAACTGAACAGGCTACTTGGTGGGGTTATATGCAAGACAGCCATCCAACCGGCACATCATGGCACATCACGATGAGACACATGCTGGGATGGGATGGGCTCCACCTTTCCCC